GAAGAAAATGCAATCAACACATTTGTTGGCCTCAAAGATACATACAGTGGGTTTTGGTGAGAAATACTGAATGTAAACATACCTTAGTAAGAAATTTTTTTTTAAAACTTAAAGTGTGCTGCAGCATGTTTTCCATTAATGTAACCCTGTTATATAAATTGCAGTTTTTGTAGTAGTCCTTACCCTTTGTGTCTTCCATATTGGCGTCCTGCTTTCTCAACAACTTTTGGACACATTCAGATTTAATTAACTTTTTTTTTCAGGTCTTTTATTTGCAGTCCTGCTCCTTAGTATAATGAATGAGAAAACATGTGGCAAGGAATCCGTTTTGCTGTGCATGGTTGCAGCTGTCAGAGGTGTGAATACCAGCGCAGGGCTGATTTCAGTATTAAACTCTCATTGTGCAGATGTATCTCCGCTCTGGATCGCAGCGCATGAAACCAGTCAAAGTGCCTCGGCGTGCAGCGTACACTAATCCCAGCCGCTGTCACCAACTAAGCTAAGCGGCATCCTAACAGCTCAGCACATTACACTATGAGGAAGCTTCTGCTTAATATGTGTGTGTGTTAAGAGAGAGAAAGATAGGGACGGAGTTGCTGTCGTAGGCGGAGGGTGAGGTGTGTCCACACCTGTGTGACAGCAGCTGAATGCATCAGAATACTCTCTCTTTGTGAGTTCAGTGTTATGTTCAACTGAGTGCCCTACCGAAGAGCAAGCGGCATAAATCGCCACAGGCAACGATTTAGACTTTCATTTTAACTCCCCGCATTGGATTGCCTCTCTTGAGTAATGACATGATGTTTGTCTTGTAAACAGCGCCGTAGCACAGCTTTTAATAACTTTTTCACAGTGTGATTATGAGACTTTGAGAGAAATACTTTATGCTTTATGACTCTCATCTCACACTGATTGTATACACTGTTACGCTGGTAATTAAGTAATGCATCCAATTGCTTACCATGGCAGCGTTTACACAAATTGATATTGAAAACAGTGTTTCTCAAGAGTCTTGGATGTCATTCAAGAGTTTCCGTGTTTTCACTGCAGTCACTTTCTCCCCAGCTGGGTTTCACATTCAGATCTTTCCCTTTGAGAGAGAACGATGCCGTGAAAGACACAATCCACACATGCATGTCATCCCACAGATGCTCCTCCCTGTCACTCATTCTCCTGTCCTTCAGCAGAAGCTTTGCTCCTTTCCTCCCTTTATCTCCTCCCCAGCCTCTCCTGGCTGTCTTCTCCTCATTTGTTCTCCATATCTTTTCGTAAATCTGCAAAAATTCTCCTTGTTTTCCTACCCGTCTCTCAACACCAAAGGTCTCTGTCTCAGTGTGTACCCACATGAAAAAAAAATATTTTTCAGAATCTATCTACAAATATGAAAAGTTTCTCATGCAGTTTGCTGCACCGCTCCCAGATGGCACAGTATAGATGAAAGGTGTTGGATGCATGGAAGGAATTTTATATTTTTTAAACACGCCTTGTAAAAACATGTTTCATTTAAAGGAGCAGCTCTACACCAGTGATAATTTCAGTGAATACCACCACATGTAAAACATGTTATATCTATATAGTATGTCACTTCAGAATCATGTTTTCAAATATACCTAATTTTGGGAAGGCATTCAACTGAAACACATTTTGAGTATAGGCGTAATATATATTGAATATGCTTTTTTTCATTTAAAATACCAATTTTTTTGTAAGATGACACAAATATAGGTTGTATTTGTACTATGTGTTGACAGTGCATTATTTTAGCACTCAGTATACAAGTTTTAGAACAGGAACTTACAGAAGGTACGCACTATTGATGGAATAAGAGACAATGGGCCCCTGGGGCCTAGTTACCTACATTCTAAAAACAAACAGTTTGCATTAAACTTTTTGAGTTATGGCAGCTTCTAATGAAATTATGTTCAACACATGTACTACATTGAGTTACGGGAATAAGCTTTTCCTCTACAATCAAAGGTATTTTTAATTACCACTTAATAATTGGTTGGTTTGGCTACTCATAAAAATGTACTTTTTTTTTTGTTTAGTTTTTCCACATTATTGATGTCAACACAACTCATCAAAATAATGTTTGCAGCTTAAAAGGTTTATCTAAATCAATAAATGAGAAGTTTTATCTTATCTTTATTTAAGTAGTGACAACAGGTCGACTGAATTGTGGGGCAGCAACTAACAATTCATTTCATGATCGAATAATCTTTGGATCATTTTCTCAATTAACCGATGAGCTGTTTGGGCCAGAAAATTTCAGAAAAATGTGACATCCTCAAATGTCTTGTTTTGTCAACAACAAGATATTCAGTTTACTGTCATAGAGGACAAAAGAAACATTGGACATGAATTGATTATCACTTTAAACTATTTATAAACCCCTCCACAGTTTTCTGTTAACCACCCTGCTGTGGACAGTAAGGTTGATCAGCAACACTTAAGGCTATAAGGCTATAATTGCTGTCATTTTTGGGTAAACTTTTTGTTTTGAGACATTTTCTGTATGAATACACAAACAGCATGGCCGCCCTGCATTTATGTTCATCTCTCCCTCTCTCTGTTTTGCTCTCTCCTTCATCTCTTCCCTCCGTCCCCTCTGTTCCTCTGTGGCTGTCAGCCCAGCAGACGAGCTCTGCCGGCACTCCGACAGGGACTGTCCTGGCCTCTCCAATTACCCAGAAAACCCCTGATCAGAAAAATGATCCTCATTATTGATGCTTGACTCACCGGGTTACTGCTGGGAGGGTAGCCTGCAGGGACAGAGAGAGAGAGAGAGAGAGAGAGAGAGAGAGAGAGAGAGAGAGAGAGGGGCAGACAGAGAGAGAGAGAGAGAGAGAGAG